ATGCTGATGCTGATGATGATGATGCTGATGATGATGATGATGATGATGATGCGGACGCTGGTTTGTGATGATGCTTCTGATGATGATGATGATGCTGATGACGACGATCATGATGCAGGTGCTGATGCTGATGATGCTGATGATGATCATGCTGCTGTTGATGAGGATGCTTTGTTTGTGGTGATGATGCCGATGCTGTTGCTTACGTTGTTGCTGCTGGTGGTGATGATGAATCTGCGAATGCTAGTGAGGACGATGCTGTTTCTGATGACGAGGATGAGGACGACGATGCTGATGATGCTGAGGACGGTGATGATGCTGATAATGCTGATGCTGCTGCTGATGATGAGGACGAGTCCAGGATGAGGATGATGATGGGGCTGACGAGGATGCTGATGCTGATGGTGATGATGTTGCTGATGATGATGACGATGATGATCAGATGGAGGATGAGAAGGAGGGTGAGGATGAGGATGATGCTGACGGTGCTGATGATGCTGATGATGTTGATGATGCTGCTGATGATACTGATGACGCTGACCATGATGATGATGCTGATGCTGCTGATGATGACGATTATGATGCTGGTGATGGTGATGATGATGCTGCTGCTTATGCTGATGCTGTTGACGATGACGATGCTGCTGATGCTGATGATGCTGATGCTGATGCTGGTGATGATGCTGCTGATGATGATGCGGATGTTGTTGGTGATGAGGATGCTGCTGATACTGCTGCTGCTGATGACGATGATGACGAGGATGAGGTTGATGATGAGGCGGATGATGATGCTGATGATGAGGATGATGATGATGCTGCTGATGATGATGATGATGCTGCTGATGCTGATGATGAGTTGGAGGAGGAGGAGGAGGAGGAGGAGAAGAGGACCCGTGCAAACCCAAGACTCATCAACGATGTTGGAACACAGCTTCCCTCCAAGCTCCCGCTTTATAGGTGAGGAGGAGAAGGAAGCGGTGGCGGAATGCTGGCAGGCCGTCAAGGCGAGAACGCACGCCTTCTTACCGCAGGAAAGCCGGTATTTGTTGCTTGTTGGGGCTATGTTGGGAGGGCTCTTGGAGTTCATTGGGGCGTCTTGGAGGCCTCTTGGGCCGTGTGGAGGCCATCTTTGGTGTTTCGGACCAATCGTTCGGCGATTCGAGGTCCTCTTGGGCCGTCTTGGGAGCCTCTTGGGGCACTCTTGACCCCTCTTGGGGGGGATGGCATTCTGACCTGGGATCCCCTCCCGCTTACCCCCCTCCCCTCCCACCCTGCCCTTTCCCACCTTTTTTCTCCCTCTCCCCCCCCCCCCCCCCCCCCCCCCTTCCCCTCCTGGGACCCCCCCCCCCCGCGGAAGGGATCAAAGGCAAGGAGCTTCCCTTCGGGTCAACTAGGACGCTGCTCAAGTTCGGTGTTCTTTCGCTTTGGCTGGCGCGCTTGAGGTTTCGGTTCGGTTTCGCTGTGGCTGGCGCGCTGGAGGAGGAGGAGGAGGAGGAGGAGGAGGAGGAGGAGGAGGAGGAGGAGGAGGACCCAGTGACTGCGACGACGACGACGATGACGACGACGGCCACGACGACGGCGGCGGCGGCGGCGACGACGACGACGACGAGTCAAACAGAGCGACGACGATGACGCGGATTTCGGTGACGACGATGACGAGTCAGACAGAACATCGTCTTCCACACACCGACAGGGTCGGCGGATTTGGAAAACTAGCGCGGCGACGGACGGGAACGGGGCCGCCGGGCCAACAGACGGGCCCAGCTCAGGAGGGAAGAAAGAACCCCTAAGTGCAAGCACTGCTTGCGGAATTCTGTAGGTTTCCTGACCGCGGGCTGTTGTTGATGTCATCGGAAAGCCATACGATGTCAGCAATCTCGTACAGAACCCGCATGCATCTTTTACCAAGAGCTGGCGGCGGATCAGCTCATACATCCTGAACATTCTTCCGCTACCGAGGATTCAGATCCAATCCGCTCCCTCCGGATCATTTGTTCCGAACCTTTGCTTCTTGCTGCCTTTCCCTCCATGGGGCGCCTGGCGCACGTGTTCTGGCGGAAACCGCCCGCCTGCATCACGGACCGGCGCGTTGGGCGGCCGCAGTTCGTCTCTCGCACGCAACTCACGGACAGCTGGGAGGGTCCGCGACGCTGTGCTTTTGGTGCCAGGAGATCTTCCGATGCACAGCTCTGCGCAGAGGTCATAGCCTATAGGTCAGGGAGCGCCCCTGGGCCCCAGGAGTACGGGACGGCGATCTACAGGGCCTACAGCATCCCGCACCCAGACGAGCCCTTCTGGACGAGGGTCCTGTCGCCCGTTCGGGACTACGGGGTCAAGATCCGCGACACCATCTCGCTCGTCCCCGTGAGGTCCTTCCGCAAGTTCCGGCCGCAGGCGGTCTCCGTCGCCTTCCCGAGGTTCCTCTTCGACCTCGCCTTTGAGGACCCGTCCGGGCAGGACATCGGGGCTATGGACCTAAACGCTGCTTTGCTGGACTTCGGCTGTGCTTTGTTCTCCGTCTTGGCAGGGAGGTACAGGAAAACAGGTCGAGTTAAGTCGGGCATGTCCCTCCACAGGAGGAGTATTCAAAAATAGTCCAAACATAGTGTACGGGAACGATTTTTCTACCTATGTTTGAATATGTGTGGGATATTTGTGTTGTCGTCGTCCGAAATCCGCCTGCAGGAGGACACGCCCGACCCCAAGGCGAAAGGCAGAACGAACACAGAACGAACAGCCAAAGGTTCGGGCCCAGCCCCGCAGGACACCTGGGCGGTCCTGGCGCAGCGGCGCGCCGTGCCGCCCCTCGTGCGGCAGGCCGAGGCCGCGCGCGAGCGCGCCGCCGCGGAGGCGCGGCGCGGCTCCGAGCTGCCAGCCCCCGCGGGCGGCCCGCCCGCCGCCGGGGCCCCGCCCGCCGCGCCCGCGCAGCAGGCGCGGCTGCGGCCGCCCCCCGGCGCAGAGGCCGCCCGGCCGCCGCGGCAGGCTGCCGCGGCGGTCGTCGCGGCCCGCGGCGCGGGGGAGGTGCCGGACCTGGAGGCGGGCCCCCTTCCCGAAGAGATGCGACGCCCCGACCAAACCGGGAGCGGCGGGCTCGAGGGCCGTTTTCTTCGGCCTCCGGGGGCCCTCGCGGGGCCTCGGGACCGTCAAGACCGAGTCGGGGCGAAAAGCCAGCCCGAGGGAAGTGGTCGAGACCTCCCAGGCCCACGCATCGAACAAAGTGGAGCGGCCCGATGTCTGGGCTGGCGGCGCGTACGGTCGGACCGAGGTATAAGATCGAGGTCGCTTCGGGGAGGGTGCCCTACTGTTCTTCGTGTTTGTCGGATGTTCTTGTACATCCTGGGGGGAGGCACCCTCGCGTGATCCTGTTGTTTGGGGTGCTGTTGCCAGCGGAGGGTCTCATGTTCTTGGAGGGTGTTATTCTGTCCTAGGTCCGACCGTATAAGACGTGGCCTCACGCTGGAGTGACTTCTGGTGCGGGCCCACGGGGTCCCCCGATTCCCGAGTGCGATGCGATGGCAGCGGCCTATTCGCTCGGGCGTGTGGCTCCCCCCGCGGACCCCTCGGGTCGCGCACCGAAGGCCACTCCTGCCTGGGGCCGCTCTTGCGCGTAACCGTGAAGCCGAGTTGGGAGTCCCTGGGGCGCCTTGAGGTCTGAGGTGGAGGAGGAGGAGGAGGAGGAGGAGGAGGAGGAGGAGGAGGGGAGGAGGGG